TTTTTTCCTGACAGTCTTACCCTGTCACCAGGCTGGAATATAATGGCACGATCTCGGCTCACTGCAACCTCCACCTCCTGGATTCAAGTGATTCCCCTGCCTCAGCCTCCGGGACTACAGGCGTATGCCACCGCTAATTTTTTTTTTCAGTAGAGATGGGGTTTTGCCATGTTGGTCAGGCTTGTCTCCAACTAATTTTTTTTTTGTATTTTAGTAGAGATGGGATTTTACCATGTTGGCCAGGATGGTCTTGATCTCCTGACCTCATGATCCACCCGCCTCGGCCTCCCAAAGTGCTGGGATTACAAATACTGCTTTCTTATTGAGAGACAACAGCTTGGGTGGAGGAAGAGGGAAGGCAGATGGATTTCAGATTTTCCAGAGATAAAATAATAATAGAAACTGACATTCATTGAGCTTTGCAACACATCAGGCAATGTGTGAAGGGCTTTGCCTCTGATGGTCTTCACAGAAAAGCGATGAAGTCATACTGCTGACTCATTTCACAGATGAGGAAGCTGAGGCACGGATAGCTGGGAACTCGCTCAGGGTCACATAGCTAGGAAGTGACAGAGCTGGGATTCAAACCCCAGACCTTCCGACTCCAGGGCTCACATTCACCTGAAAAGTCAGAGGGAACAGACCCTGCAAAGCCCCATGCAGGGCCGGAGAGACCGGAGCCTGAGGTCATTGCTGTGAGAGGGGAGAGGGCCTTTCTGTCAGGGTGACAGGTGGGATCTGAAGCTGGAAAGCCGGAGAGAGGCTCGGTGGGGGCCAGTCCTTGCATGCTCCAAGAGATTCTGATCTGTTGCTGGGCAGCAGGGAAGGGCCAGGAAAAGAGCAGGTGCTGGGGCCGGGGAGGTCGTGAGGCTGAATCCAGGCTTACCACTCACACCTGGGCCACCCCGGACACGTTGCTCATCTTCTCTGTACTCCAGTGTAACAGTCAGGGATACTGCCTTTCCACGCAGTCAAGTCCGTGACTCCAAACAAAAAGCGGACATTTATTGGCTCCCATCTTTAACATTCTGTGGGGAATGGCTTCAGGTGCAGCTTGATGCAGGATTCCAATGGCATCACCAGATCTTTCTCTGCACTCTTTCCACTGTCTGCCCCACCCTCAAGCTCCAGGGTTTCTCCTCATCCTGGCAGCAGATAGAAGCCCCTTCTTTCTACACCACCCAGCCCAGCAGGGGTGACCAAGCTGCATCCCAACCTTTTCAGTATTCCAACTCCTGGGGGCTGGAGGGCACAGATCAGAGCCGAGCTGGGGTCGACCCCAAAACCCAGAAGAACCTTTGCCCAAAGGAGAATCTCCATACTGCGGACAGAAGAAGGGGAGCGAGTGCTGGGGGCCTGAAGGGAATCTCCCAGATGCCCACACACTGAATTCCAGACACAATTTGAAGAGGGACCGGGAAGACTTGAAATCATTCACCAAGAGCATCCACCGCCCAGCGTGCAGTAGGCACACAATAAATGCTCTTTTCCTTCTGCTTGGCAACCAACAGGGGGAGGAGGGCAGAGGAGAGGGGCTCCACAGGTCAGTGCTATGTGTGGCTGGAACTGATGCACCCTCACTGGGGTGGGGTGCGGGTGGGGGGGTGCAGGTCAGGAGGGAAGTGGTGGGTCCAGCTTCATGGGGACAGTGGACAGGCACCTAGAAGGGGTGGTCGGCAGGTGGTTCACCATGCAGGTCTGCAGCTCATTGGCTGGGATGCATTTTGAGGGTCTCAGGAACAGAGAGGCAGTTCAGACACAAGGGTGGATGACTTTGCCTGGGAGAGGTGTCAGAAACCTCCAGGAAGGCGGAGCATTGAGGGCGCGCTTCACTGTCCCTTCCTTGACCGCACTGCTCCCAGACATCGTGGACATCAAGCCGGCCAACATGGAGGACCTCACGGAGGTGATCACAGCATCTGAGTTCCACCCGCACCACTGCAACCTCTTCGTCTACAGCAGCAGCAAGGGCTCCCTGCGGCTCTGCGACATGCGGGCAGCTGCCCTGTGTGACAAGCATTCCAAGCGTAAGTGCCGGTGCCTGGGGTAGGGGGCTGTGCAGCGGGCAGGTGGGCGGGTGGGGATGTCCTGTCCTGGTGCAGCTGCTGCAGGGGTGGTGGTGGGTATGGGATGAGCATATCCTGCACTGGCCAAGGTGGGTGAGCCCATTGCTTCTTTAGTGCTGGCTGGTCGGGGAGCCTGGTCTTGCCACCTGCTGCCCCCCCCCGAGTCCCTGCACAGCCAGGAACATCCCAGCTTCTAGGGTTCAGGGCTCTAGGACCAGGGTCAGGGCATCCAGAAGGTAAGGAGGCACCAAACTTAAATATTGCCTCCTCTCGGAAACCTTCCCAGACCCCTACTTTAGATCAGGATCCTGCTCTGTGGCCCTGCAGCCCCCAAAGCTTCCCTTTCTTCCGGAACTAGCCGCACCCGACGAACTTGCTGTGGGCTGCCCATCTTCTCCGGCTCCTTGGAGCAGGGTCTGTAACACGTGCCCTCATCCTAGAGCCCACCACAGGGCCTGCTGTGGGAGTCCCACAGGGGTATCCGTGGAGGTCCGGGGCTGAACGAGTTCCAGGGGACATTTTGTGACACAGCAACCCCCAGCATAACAGCTCACACCGAACACTCACTCTGAGCCCAGCCCCCACCGAGGGCTTCACCTGTGAGCTCATCGAATCTTCACACAAGCCCCAGGAGGTGCTGTTCAAAAGAGGAAACAGAAGCTCCAGGTATTGGCCCACATTCAGTAGTGGCAGGGCTGGGCCGCCTGGCACTGGGTTGTGGCCACGGGCTCACACTGCCACAGCCGTCCCAGAGGTCCTTGAAGGTGCGGGATCAGGCCATGGCATCCATCTTCCCAGACAGCCCTGCAGGGCTAGCAAGGGGCCAGGCAGGAGGGGGGTGTCCCCCAGGCAGAGGGCAGGGACTTTGGTTATCTGGTTCCCCTCACTGTCTGTCCCCAGCGCCTACCACAGTGTCTGGAAATAAACTCTTGTTGAATAAACCCGGAGGAGCCTGACTAAAGCCTGGGTGCCAGTGGCAGGGGGCTGGTTGGGAGTGACAGGGCCACACTGTTCCCTTGGGGAGTCTGGTTTTGCTGGGCAGTCAGAGACAGGGTGCACACCAGCCCCAGGACTCAGGCTCAGGGCCCCCCAAAACCTCCAACTTCTGCCTCCTTCTTTGGCCAAGTTCTGGCCCCCACATCCACCCCTTCTTCTCCTCTGGGTTTGTCCACGCTCCGTGTGTCACACTCAGCCATCCAGGCATTCAGTAGGCGCCTATTCCCAGCATGGGCATGCAGCAGAGGCCAACCTTCGGGAGCTGGCATCTGCCAGGGAGACAGGCAGTGAACACATACCTGACGCATGTCAGGGCGTGGCGAGCAATGGCACCAACACCCACAAAGTCAAGTACAGGGACAGCGGGGTCAGGGAGGGCCTCCCTGAAGAGATCACAGTGGAACAGACACCCTGAGGGGGTGGGCCATGCTGATCTCTGGGGAAGAATGTTCTAGAAGGAGGGAACTGCAGTGGCCATGACTCCAGACATTGCCTGTAGGTCAAGGGAGGGACTGGGTTTTGTTCTGGGTGAGCTGAGAAGGAGAAGCTGTGGGTTGTCGTGAGATGGGGACTTGAGGACGAGGAGGAGACGCTGCAGAGGTTCCCCGGGGGAGCAGGCATCGGAGTCCCCTGCAGGGTCTGCAGAAAGAAATGGTGACCCCGGGGGTGGGGGTGGGGGTTAGGAGGTGGGGCAGGGCTCACCTGGCTGCCCCTCAGGATGTTGCTTGGAGGTCGAGCTTTGCCTTGTGGGGCGTGACTCTGCAGTTTGGTTTGAGCTGTGGGTGAAGGTGGGGCTGTGGCCTGAAACAACAGGCGGTGCCGGGGACCAGCAGGCAGGTTTCAGACCTACAAGCCTGAGGCCCTTATTGGGCTCCAAGGAAAGGGGTGGAGTAGGCAGCCAGATGTCCAGGCCGCAGTGCCGCCTGGAGGTAAGTGTGGAGTTAGTGGCCCGTGGACGGATGGGAGGCCAGAGACCAGCTGAGATTCCCCTGGTACAGGGGGCCCAGGGGGCCCAGGGCTGTGTCCTGTGCGTCACAACAAAGGACCACACACTTGGTGGCTTGAAACAGGGCATATGTATCGTCTCAGGCCACAGTCCCATACCCGGCTCACTGGCCGGAATGAAGGTGCTGTGGGCTGGTGCCTTCCGGAGGCTCTTTGGGAACGCTGGTTTCCCTGTCTCTTGCAGAGGTGCTTCTAGAGGCGCTGCATTCCCTGGCACGTGGCCCCTCTCCCCCACTCTCCAAGCCCACAGCAGCCAAGCCTCTCCCATGACTCTGACCCTCCTGTCTGTCTTTCACGTATAAAGACCCCTGTGATCACCTTGCCCTCCCTGCCCCCACTCCGATGATCCAGGATGACTTCCCCGTCTCAAGGACGGCTGAGTTGTAGCCTTGATTTCATCTTTGGCCTTAATTTGACTTCGCCGTGTAGCACAGCATAGTCACAGGTGCCAGGGATCAGGACGCAGCCGTCGCTGGGGGCCGTTCCATTGGCCACTGCAGGGCACTGCCCCCACCACCTACACCACCTACGCCTCCCGCCCATTGACTCAGGCCGCATGGGCCTCCAGCTGTGCCTGTGCCTGTGTGCAGCCAGCTGTGGGTCAGAATGGGATGGGAGAATACTGGGGAAGAGAGGAGGCTCTTCCTGCTCCTGGTCCGTCCCCGACCCTGTGTGAGCCCTGTGGGAAGGAGGATGGGGCTTCATGGCACCCCGTTGTTTATACGGGTGGAAATCATCCTCAACATCCTAATCTTAAATGCTAAGATCATTCAACTCTTCTAAAATGAGCGAGGCAGCTTTTTCTTTCTTTTTCTGGAACCATTGGTGTACTATATCTGCTCCTTGAAGTATTAGGAAAACTTGTGTGTGAATCTATTCGGCGTCCTTTTGAGGGAGAGGAGGAAAATGTTAAGCCACCAGTTTAAAATGCCGAGAAAATGATGTCGACAATGGTGACATCCATGTAACAGGATATTGTTTGGTCATGTCAACTATTGTTGTAGAAGATTTTTTAAAGCCATGGAGAAGTGATTATGATGAAAGATTTAGGGGATAACAAAATAAGGCTAGACCACCAAAAAAAATGGAAACAGAGAAAACTCTGGAAAGAAATACACGGAGTTGTCCCTGAGTGGTGAGCTGTAAGAAACTGATGGGATATTTTCTTTTGGTGTATTTTTATTTTAATGATGGATTTGAACTTTGAATCAGAAAACACATGTGTGTGCAGGAAGGGTGGAATTTAGGGAGAACAGAGACAGGCATAGGACAGTTTTGTGCACCCCTTGATGTTTGTGTGACATTTTTCAGTGGGCCAGAGGGGGCAGTCAGACCCCCTTTGGCTCCGGAAGCCTGTGCTGTCTGGTTCCCCAGGGCAGAAGCAGCGGTGACATATACCTTGCACATTTTGTGAGTCCAAGCACAGACGCATCCATTTCAGTCACATGATTTCATATGCCTGGTAATGTATGAGCCTCGTGTGAATCAGCCAACGAACTCAAGAGTACAAGAAATATGAGTGTTTTCGATGACTCAATTCAATTTCCTTCTTCACCCCCAGCTCCCAGGGCTGCAGTGAATATTGACTTTGGGGCCTCGGCAGATTCTGCTCCTCTCCGGATTGCACTGAGGTTCCAGAAGGCTCTGGCAGGCCGAGGTGCAAAGAGAGGGACATGGTGTCTTCCAGGCCACTGAGGACTTTTGACTCTGCCTGGGCGACCTTGGGGCCAGGTCCTTGCTGAGAAATCCCCAAGGGCCTGTTGGCTGTGCCCAGTGACTGACCTGGGAGGTTGGCAACATGCTGACCTCTGGGGGCTTTTGCCCCCACCAGTGATCCCAAGTCTGTAGACAGGGTGGGGCTGCCTGTGATTTACTAAGGTTTTATGTACACTTTTTGCACACATAGGCGAAGTTGGTTTTTAATTTTCTTTTCCTATACTCTCTTTGCCCAATTTTAAGATTCTTCAACTCTCCTAAAATGAACTGGGCAGCTTTTTCTTTCTTTTTCTGGAACAGTTGATGTAATATATCTGCTTCTCGAAATCTTAGGAAAACTTGTGTGCAAATCTATTTGGTGTCCTTTTGAGGGAGAGAAGAATTTTTTTCTTCTTTTTTTTTTTTTTAGACAGAATTTGGCTCCATTGCCCTGACACGATCTTGGCTCACTGCAGCCTCCACCTCCTGGGTTCAAGGGATTATCTCACCTCAGCCTCTGGAGTAGCTGGGATTACAGGTGTGTACCACCATGCCTGGCTAATTTTTTTTTTTTTTGTATTTTTAGTAAAGACAGGGTTTTGCTATGTTGGCCAGGCTGGTCTCAAACTCCTGGCCTCCAGTGCTGGGATTACAGGCATGAGCCACCATACCCAGTCAAGAGAAGAAAAATTTTAAAAAACCAGCTTAATTTCTTTTTTGATTATTGATTTATGCAAATTTTATTTAAAATTTTTCTGGAATATTTTTCATTCTCAAACTCAAAATCTTGTACGGACACTTTCTCTTTCATGCCAGCAAAAAGATTGTGCAGCAATTTTTAGCATGCTTTCACAGCTTCCATTTCTCCTGGTTTAATCTGCCACATATTGGGGTGAGTGGCTGAAGTGTCTGTCCTTCTGTGTGCCTTGTCCAGGCTGTGTTTTGCTCTGAGGCTCTCATGGGAAATCAAGCACACAGCTGATTTCCAATTAGCAGGTGGTGGCTGTTTTTAATCTGAACACAAATGGCTGTTATTTGAGCTAATTTTTAAAAAGAGATTTGGGGATTAGGATTAGTTCTTCACCTCCCACTTCCATCCACGTATCCAGTTACTGCTCAAAACTCAGGGAGCGGCTGATAGTGACACCCCGGAGATGTGCTCACAGCATCATTTTCCTAACAGAATCAAACTGCGAATGAAGAGCATCCTGGATGCAGGGAGATGCTCCTTTCTGCCATTGGACAGATGAGGAGACTGAGGGTCT